ACTGGAGTAGGGCAGGCCTTAATCCAACACGACTGGTGTCCTGAGCAGAAGAAATGTGCAGTCTAAACTGCCGAGTACTGCACGAGGGCAGCTGGCAATGTGGCACCAGGGAGAGGGCCGCGTGCGGAGACACGGGTAGACGGTCATCTGCAAGCCAAGGAGAGAGGCCTGGGACACGCCCTCCCTCGCAGTCCTCAGGAGGGACCAGTCCTTTCAGACCTCCAGGCTCCGGAACTGTGAGGCGACAAACGTGTGTGTAAGCCATGCCGTTTGCGGTCCCGTGTCACAGCAGCCCTGGCAAACTAACACTCCTCAGACCTGGGTCCTAGAGCAGACTGGGCCCTTCACTAGCTGCGCGGCGCCAGACAAGCCCCTGCCCTCTCCAAACCTCGGCTTGTCCGCTCTGTCCCCAGGGCTGGCCGGGCACACGGCAGGTGCTCCCCAGACACTCGCCGCAGGAACAGGAATGGCAGTCTTCCTCAGTGCCACGGGGCGGATGAGTCACAGGATGGGCTGCGTTCTGGACATGCGGACGCCCTTGCCACCCACGCTGGTGGCTCCTCGCACACACAGGGGCTGGCAGCATGGCCACGCAGCGCTTCACATGAGCTGCCGCCCTTAGTGGAGGGCTAGGGACAGCAGCAAGAGCAGTCACTGCGGAGGCCGGGCAGGCAGAGTGAGGGAGTGAGTCCTCCAGCCACCGTGCAGCCACAGAGTGCCGAGTGCCCACCACGCACCAGGCCCCACACTGGGCCTGGGGTGGGAAGCAGAGCCCCCCTGCCCGTGTGAGCCCGGCCCTGCCCAGAGGCTTAGGGAGGCAGCTCAGCTCAGCCACGCCAGAGCTGCATCCGAGGCCTCGGCTTCCCTGGAGACAGTGAGGTCCCTGTCCCTAAAGGCATGCAAGTAAAGGTCAGAGGTCACAATCTCAAGGACACCTGCACCCCCCCAGCACGAGCTGGGGTTGGGCCAATGCGTCCCAACACAGCTGATCATCAAGAAGTGACTATGGGGCTTGTTAATTGCCCAGATTCCTGGGTCCCCTACAGTTCTGGAACAGGTCTGGGTGGGCCCCAGAGGAACCTTGTCTCCAGTGACACCCCTGGGCCTGTGCAGAGCCATGGGCACCCCAGCCCACAGAGCACCCAGTGTGAACAGGGCCCGTTTGGGAAGAGCTCTGACGGCGGCACGTGGGGTGGGGCGGCACGTGGGCAGGACACGCGAGGGACAAGAGCACGTGGAGGACAAAGATCAAGACAAGCTGAGGACCAGGACGAGCTGGGTAATGTGGTGGGACAGCTCAACACAGCTGTGGGCCTGGAGAGGACCAGACGCAGGGCACACGTGGCCACTCAGAGGGACAACGGGGCTGGAAGAGTCAGGGACGACATCCAGAAGAGGCAGGAAGTGGCTGGGGCTTAAGAAAAGCATTCTAGACTGAGTGACAGAAGGTGAGGCAGGAGCCTGGTTGGGGGCGATGAGGAGCAGACTCACCCGTTGGAAAGGAGAGGGCACAGAAAGGGTCAGCTTCAGACAGATCATGAAAGTCCTTGGATAACCAGGAGAAGGATCTTGGATTTCAACCTTAAACAATAAGGGGCCACTGAAGGTTCTTGAGGAGGAGCATGACCTGAAGGAAGGCCTGTATTAATCACCACCAAGGCCAAGGCTGCTCCAGACTTGGCTCTCTCGGGGGAGGAAAGGGTGAGAGGGTCAGGCCAGCAGCAGCACCGCACTCCTTGCCCACAGCAGCCCTAACGAACGTCACAGAACGATGGTGGCAACCACGAGGCCATTTGGGAGGATCAGCTGAGAAGGGGAGCTGGCAGCAGCCTCTCCAGACCGGGACATCCAGAGCCCGGCCTGTACAGGCCGCCCATCGGGAGGGAGCCCCCGCTGGCTCCCCCGAGCAGCAAGGCCCAGATTTCTTCTCTTCACGATCTGGTCCAGGCTCAGGGGCTCCAAAACCCACGCCGACGCCAGGCTCCCTCAACTGCACCTCTGGCCCGGTCTCCCTGCTGAGCGGCACGCACACTCCCCACTGTCTGGGCAAGCGCCCCACGGGGCCACCAGCCCCAAAGACACTTCCCAGCAGGACTCTTGCTTGTCCCCTGCAGGCTGGCTCTCAGCCCTGGCCCTCGGCTTGGGGAAAGGTGCCAGCACTCGCCTCTCCCAGGCCCGATCTCTCCCACCGCCCATCCTTCAGCTGCGCTTCAAAGCCTCCCACAAGTGTGAAGGGACCTGTCCCCACCACACCCAGGCCAAGCCCCCCATCTCTCGTCTGGACTGACGCTGGGGCCTGCCAACTGGCCCCAGCTCTGCTCTCACCCACCCACCCATGATCCTGTCCCCAGCAGGCAGCCAGACCAGCCCGCAACCTCAGATCCTCACACCCCTGCGTCGCTCTCTGACTCCCAGCTGGACCCAATTTCTCAGCCTCCCCCCACGACCACCCTCCAGCCACAGGGGCCCCTGTGCTGGTCCCAGACCAGAGCCTGTCCAGATGTCCCCAAGGCCTGTTCCTCTGCTCAGGTCTCTGCTCAGAGGACACCGGTGCCATCCGAGAGGTTTCCTGACCACCTGGCGAGGGGCTCCCCATCACACTCCCTTTCTCGGCCTTATTTTTCCCTGGGGCATTTATGACTTCCCAACCTTATATTAATTTGCCTATCTGGTTTTTTCTGCTTGCTCTGCTGGAATGTAGGCTCCATGAGGGCAATGGCGTGGTCTGGCTTACTCACCCATGACGCAATCCCAGGCACAGAGAGCCGAGCCTGACGCGCACGGGGTCAGCGAGTGGGGCAAATGGAGGATGAATGAACCCTTGAACAAACGATGACTTCAGCAGCTGGTGCGCAGCACCTCGTGTAAGCCACACACGAGCAGAGGGGCGACCCAGGGAAGACTCTGCCCTGAGAGTCCCCGCGGTCTGTGGGGAGCAGCAGCCCACGCTATGCGTCATCCCAACCCAGGCGTGCAGGTGCGGGCCAGAAGGCGTGCACAGGGAGGTGCACTAGCTCCGCCGAGACTCAGGGGAGCTTCCTGGAAGAGATGACCCAGCACCCCCAGCCTCCCTCCTTGGCCCTCCAGGGTCCCCATATGGGCCCCCCCACCACTGAGGGGGTGGGGTGCCTCTCTGACCAGCCGTGCGGATCCAGGAGTCCAGAGATGTTCAGAGCTGGTCCCTGCAGCCCTCCTGCAAGGCAGACGCCTGGGCAGGGCTGGCCAGAGCGCAGAGGCTTGGCTTAGACACCACTGATTCTGCCAGTGTTGGAGAGGTCAAGAGCTGTGGCATCTGGGACCCCCAACCTTGCCTGCCCGCCCTCTGCCACCCTGTCCCTCCCCTCCAACCCCTGCAGCACTAAAAGAGGGGACAGAGGAAGCAGGGACAGCAAGGAAACCCCTGGGCTTCCTCCCGGGGTCCGGAGCTCTGCTGAGCCAAGCCCCAGCCCTGGGACGGCCCCTGGGGCTCCGTGACCAGCTCCAGCCCCTCCGGCAGTCACCCCCCACACTCCCAACTGCCCTACCTCTCCGCCTTGCTCAGGCCGGCCGCACCCCCAGACCCAGCACAAGCCTTTTCTGCCCACCCTAACCTACGCACCCCACTCCGTCCATGCAGGTGTTATCTGCAACGACAAGGCTCTGGAAACCGCCACAGCACGACGGGACTGGCAGGACACGCTACGGCACACACAGGCTGACACGTTGCGCCACCATCAAAAATCACACTGTGGAAGAGTGTTTAACGACAGGAAAATGATTTTGGTATGGTATTAAGTGCAAAAGGCAGGTTAGAAAATAGTAAGTACAGCTTAATCCCAATTATGTCATAAATACATATTTTGTAAAAGACTGATGGGCTAAACACCCAAGTGCTCACATTTTTCTATAGAGAGCACACATTACTTTTTTATGACCAGAAAAATAGAATGTTTCAAAAGGACCTTCCAGACTCCAAGGCTCAGCGCAGGCATCACCTCCTCCAGCAAGCCCCGCCGGGCCCCTGCACACATGCCCCTCTGCCCGCCGCGCCCCTGCTGCCACGCCCGCGGGTGCTCCGTCTGCCTGGGCAGCGGGGAGGCTCCTCGGCCTCCTGGTCCGGGTGTGGGCGAGCCCGATCACTCCGCCTCTCGCCACCCTGGCCACCTCGCGGACAGCCCTGACCCGTCCTCTCCCACTCCCGTCAGCAATTCCAGGCTCCACTGGAGGGGCTCGCTAGCTGCTCACTCCGCCCAGACCGGCTCGCTAGCAGACATGTTCTGACGGAGACGACTGGGCTTCAGAGCAAAGCCTAGTGCCCGGCACGGACGCCCAGGCGCCACACTCCACCAGCTTCCCGGCGCGAGAGCAGGGCTGGCCGAGCCTCGGCCGCACCGTCCCCCAGTCCTGCGGGAGACGGGATTCCAGGCCTGTTGCCCTGCTGAGCCCCAGGCCTCCGCCCAAGAAACGAGAAGGAGACGGCCGGCCAGCCTGCTGCCAGAGCCCCCCAACCTTCCGCTTCTCGAAGCCCCTCTGCAGCCTCCGCACGGGTCACAGAGGCCTGTCGAGAACAGGGGATGGGCCGGGTGCGGTGGCTCACGCCTGTAACCCTAGCACTCTGGGAAGCCGAGGCGGGCGGATCGCTCAAGATCAGGAGTTCGAGACCAGCCTGAGCAAGAGTGAGACCCCGTCTCTACTATAAATAGAAGTAAATTAACTGGCCAACTAAAAATATAGAAAAAATTAGCCGGGTATGGTGGCGCATGCCTGTAATCCCAGCTACTTGGGAGGCTGAGGCAGAAGGATTGCTTGAGCCCAGGAGTCTGAGGTTGCTGTGAGCTAGGCTGACGCCACGGCACTCACTCTAGCCTGGGCAACAAAGTGAGACTCTGTCTCAAAAAAAAAAAAGAACAAAGAACAGGGGTGTGAGCCCTGATACAGGGGGAGGTGACTTGCCCAAGGTCACAGCAAGCCAGGGGTCCAGCCAGCCAGCAACCCAGATCCCCCTTCTTCCCATCTCCTACCTCTCTGGGACATGCTGTGGCTCCTCTACACCCCCTCACATGGAACATGATGTGGGAGGGTCTGTCATCTCCCACATTCTGGGTGTCTTGCTCCTCGTGATACAGTCCAAGAGCCCATGTGCTCTGTTCACAGAAAGCCAAGGTCACCTGGCTGCCAGTGCTTGTCACACGAACATACCTGGGGTCTGAGCCTCACCTGGCCCTGAAGGTGTCTGGACCCACGCGCTGACCCTGGCGTGAAGCCCCGTTAAGCTCCACACATCAGAGCCGGTGCCAGCCTCTTGACAGGTTCTTGGGCCCTGACTGTCTCAGCCCATGTTCCAGCTCCCTCCTGAGCTGCAGTCAGGCACACGTTTGGTCAACAGTGTGACAGGACCCAGGACAGAGCCCTGAAGGCCACCCTCAGAGACCTCCCCCGCCACACGGAGCGTCGGCCGCCCGCCCGCCGTCCAGCAGAGCCCGTCCCTGGGAAGGATGGGAAGGACGCCCAGGCCTGGGCTGCGGCCGGAGTCCCGGCGCACCGAGCGAGGGCTGGCAGGGGGCAGCACCGCCGCCCAGACCGCCCAGACCGGGCAGCGTGTTGGGAGGAAGAGGCGGGAGCCCCGAGAGAGCGCCCTGCGGCGGCCTCCCCGACCCCCACGCCCACAGCTGACACCGCCCCACTGCCCGCTGGCCAGAGCGGCCTCTCACCTCAGGCTGGCGGCGTCCGGGGAGTGCGGGGCTGGGTCAGCGGCCGGCTCAGTCGCCCTCTCTGCCCACGCACGCTGCAACTCAGGGCCCGCGGGCGCAGGAGGCTGCGGGGAGAAGGGCACGGCTGTGACCCAAGTGGCGGCAGCAGGTGGCCCGGGCTGCGGGTCACGCACACGGATGGGCCTGATGCCCCTGCCCACCACAACCAAGCAATAAATGCCCAGACATCTCCCCACACACACCCTTCCTTCAACGCAGAGACGGGATGAAGAGAGTGCGGTGGTAAAGGGGAAGCTCTGGCAGTTGGCATCTGACCCAGCGCCCGGCTCCTGGCACCCCGTGACGGCGAGCGGGTCCCGTCTTCCGGGGGGCCAGGCCAGCCCCTCCGCACCTCTCAGTGCCAGCCAGCACAGGCCCAGGCCCCAGCGGGCTCTCGAGGCCTCCAGACAGGGCAGGTGGAAGGGTAGGCTGGGGCTCTGGGAGGGGGCTCTAATGTGGGCAGAAGACAGCAAAGGCCCCGGGGCCCTCCCGGAGGGAGCACTCTATCAAGTCTCAAATGCTGATGCTAGAATTCCTGGCCACCCAGTGGGTGAAGACGGAGGGACTGCAGAGCGGGCCTTCGCATTTTGCGGCTGCAGACTTCCCCTCCAAGAACAAGCAGAGAAACGGGCGCTGAGCAGGTTCCACCGCCCAGCCTGGCTTTCCCATCCTGAGGACCAGCTGAGAGAGGCCTGCCCAGCCCCAAACCTCTGCTGCCAGCCAGCCCTGGGGACAGGACAGGACATAGAGGTGCCAGCCTGGGACAGAGGGGTAGTCAGAGCCTGGGAAATTCCTCAGGCCTGGGTCCCCCAAGCCAAGTCTAGCCAGGCAGGGGTGCTCTCAGTGCCCGCCCAAGCTGGGTCCCAGCAGACTGGCACGAGCCAGCCAGGCCCAGACCAACACAGGCAGGCCTGTCCCTGGAAGGCCTCCAGACCAGCGGGCTGGCGTCCTGAGCCCAGTTCCCCTGAGCTGCAGGGCGAGCCACCCCCCAGCGCCACTGTAAGCCCCCAGCTGCCACAGTCTACAACGATGAGCTTCCCACTCCCTCCCCCAAACCTTCCTGCAGCTCCCACTCTCCTCTGTGGCATCACAAGGAGTTGCTATGGAAATAGGACCACAGGCAGAGCATGACAATGATTTGGGGCAGGGGAGGAGTTGCAGTGGGAGCCAGGTGCTCTCCTGGACACGAGGTCTGCCCGTGCGCCGAGTCCCAGCTAAGACATGAAATCCCACCTGCAGGCCCCACAGCCAAGGTCGGGGCTCCCCACCTGCCCTCCTGGCTCCTCGCACCTCAGCAGGGCCCAGGGAGCTCTCAGAACCAAGGCCTGTGTGTTCAGCAGAATTAACATGTGCCCCAGAGAATGGGAGACTCTCACTGAACAGCTACTCAAGGACACCGCTGATGTGGCTTCAGCACCGTGGGGGCCACACCCAGTAGATGCTCAGCAACGCTATGATCAAAGAGAATGGTGCTGGCGTGTGTGGGGCACGTGGGTATGCACCTGCTCTGGGCAACATGGCACAGAATCACGGAGCTTGAAAAGCCAACACCCATTGTACAGATGGGGAGACTGAGGCCCAACTAGGGTCGGGCTCACCCAACAAGTCATCAGGAAAGCTAAACCCTGAATGCAGGTCTCTTCTTCCCTAGACCTGAACCCTCTGGTCAATATCCCTGGCTCCTTGTTGATTCATTCTACTTTTACTCAATGCCTGCTGTGTGCTTGGTGACCTGGACAGAGAGATATAAAGAATGCCGCTCCTGCTCACCAGGAGCTCAGAGAGGCGACACAGAGGGGGCACCAGTCCCGATCACAGGGGGCCACCAGTCCTGATCACAGGGGGCACCAGTCCCGATCACAGGGGGCACCAGTCCCGATCACAGGGGGCCACCAGTCCTGATCACAGGGGGGGCACCAGTCCCCATCACAGGGGGGCCAACAGTCCCAATCACAGGGGGGCCACCAGTCCCCATCACAGGGGGGGCACCAGTCTCCCATCCACAGGGGGGCCCCACCAGTCACGCCATCACAGGGGGCCCAGTCCCAATCACCAGGGGGGCCACAGTCCCCATCACAGGGGGGGCACGCAACGAGGCACCACTCGATCACCGGGGGGGGGGCGACCAGTCGCGATCCACCCCGGGGGTGGGGGGCACCCAGTCCAATCACTTGAGGGGGCCACCAGTCCGCGATCAAGGGGGGGCACCAGTCCGATCAAGGGGGGACCCTGTCGATCACGGGGGGGGGGGACCAGTCCCGGATCACAGGGGCAACAAGTCCGCGAATCACAGGGGCACCAGTCCCGGATACAGGGACCTTCGAATCCACAGAGGGGGACCTGTCCGATCACGGGGGGGGACCCAGTCCGCGATACAGGGGACAGCCGAGTCCAGGGGGCACCAGTCCCGATCACAGAGGGGGGACCAGTCCCGATCACAGAGGGGGGACCAGTTCTGATCACAGAGGGGGGACCAGTTCTGGATCAACAGGGGGGGACACCAGTCCTGATCCAGACGGGGGACCAGTCACTGATGCACAGAAGGGGCACCAGTATGATCACAGAAGGGGGAACCAGTCCTGATCAAGAGAGGGGGGCACAGTCTGATCACAGAGGGGGGAACCAGTCCTGATCACAGAGGGGACCAGTCATGATCACAGAGGGGACATCCTTGATCACGGGGCCGGGGGGGTGCACCAGTCCCTATCACCAGGTGGGGCACAGTGATAACAGAGGGCCAGTCGCTGATCACAGAGGGCACAGTCCTAGATCACAGAGGGCGACCGAGTCTGATCACAAGGCGTGAAGGGGGGGAGCACAAGTCGCCTATCACAGGGGGGACACCAGTCCCTGATCACAGAGGGGACCAGTCCTGATACAGAGGGGGGACCCAGTCCTGATCACAGAGGGGGCACCGCATGATCACCAGAGGGGGGACCAGTCCTGATCACGGGGGGGGGCCATTCCTACAAGGGAGGGCACCAAGTCCTGATCACAGAGGGGGGACAGTCCGATCACAGAGGGGGGACCCAGTCCTGATCACGGGGGGGGGGGGGCACCAGCCTTCCACAGGATCGATCACCAGAGGGGGGCACCAGTCCGATCACAGAGCACCCAGTCGATGATCACAGAAGGGGGACCAGTCCTGCTCACCGGGGGGGGGGGTGGAAACCCTATTCCACTATCACAGGGGGCACCAGTCCTGATCACGAGGGAAGTCCGATCAAGAGGGACCAGTCCTGATCACCCGGGGGGGGGGGCACATCCTATGCACAGGGGGGGAACACCCAGTCCTGATCACAGAGGGCGCCACCAGTCCCGATCACAGGGGAGGATCACCAGTGCCTGATCACAAGAGGGGTACCAGTCGCTGATCAGCCAGAGGGGGCACCCAGTCTGATCACCAGAGGGGACCAGTCCGATCACAGAGGGGCACCAATCCGACACAGAGGGGGACCAGTCTGATCACAGAGGGGGCACCAGTCCTGATCCAGAGGGGCCACAGTCCGATCACGGGGGGGGGGGGGTGGGCACCAGTCCTATCACAGGGGGCACCAGTCCTGATCACAGAGGGGGCACCAGTCCCGATCACAGGGGGGGACGCCAGTCCTGATCACCCAGAGGGGGGACCAGTCCTGATCACAGAGGGGGCACCAGTCCTGATCACGGGGGGGGGGCACCGTCCTATCACAGGGGGGACCATCCTGATCACAGAGGGGGCACCGTCCTGATCACGGGGGGGGCACCAGTCCCTATCACAGGAGCCACCAGTCCTGATCACAGAGGGGCACCAGTCCTGATCACGGGGGGGGGGGGGCACCAGTCCCTATCACAGGGGGCACCAGTCCTGATCACAGAGGGGGCACCAGGCCGGAGTCTGGGGCCACGGAGCTCAGGGAAGGTTCTCAGAGCTTTAGGTTATGGACTGCTGAGCTGTGCTCCAAAGAGATCTCTGGGTTCCCCGTCTTATCTCCCAACCCGCCCCAGCCCAAGGCCCCTACAACCCAGCTACGAGGGGAGTGAGGAAAGTGCCTTGCCACGCAGAAAGCAACACGAAGCGCTGGTGCCAGACTCCCTGCCCTGCCAGGCCTCGCCACCCCACGCTGCATCCGCCCTCGCTCTGTCCCAAGCGCCGCCCACGAGCAGGCCGGCTAGCCCGGCTGGCCGGAGAACAGGTGAGCCGTGACGGAGCCCAAGCCCCATCTCTGTCGGTAGTGTGCAAATTCTCTCCTTGTTTTTAGGAGATTTGGGGGAGGGAGGGTACTGAGAGAGCAAAAGGGAACACCTTCCAGAGCTTGCTTGGAAGAGCCCCCAGCTCCGCTGCCCTGCCCACATGCGCCATGCCTCCAGCAGAGGTGCGGACCCCAGGCCTACTGTGCAACCGTGGGACCGAGACCCTGAGAGGTGGCGGCGGGTGGACCACGGGGTCGGCACATGAGAAGGCAGGACAGGCAGACTGGCACGGATAGAAAGGGGAGGCCCGGTCCAGCGCAGTGGAGGAGGAGGAAGGAGTAGTCTTGGAAGGCTTCCCGATGGAGAGGAACTAGGCCTGGCCCGTGCCGCCTCAGCTCTGGCAGGAAAAGAGTTTCTCTGAGAGAGAGAACCGGGCCAGGGCCTGCCCTGCCAGCCCACATGATTGGGGCTAGCCTGGCAGGTGGAGGACAAGGGGAGGGCGTCCCTGACAGCTGCCGTCCCGTCCCAACCCCACGAAGGCTCCACCACTGCCATCCCTGCGTCCCTAGTCACGGCTGCCCAATGGGGAACCAGCTGGGGACGGGAAAACAGCAGAGACGGGGCCAGAGGTCCCAGAGAGAGAGGGTCGGCAGCACCCAAAG